CCCCTGGGAAGTGGGAAGCGTGTCGTGCGCCGGGGGCAAGATCGTGCAGTCAGAGCACAGCCGGCGCCTGCATCCCCCCTGCTCCGGCCGGCGGCGGCTACTCACAGCCCAGCTGCCCCTGCCGGCGGGGGCTCCGCTCACAGGGGCTGTGGCAGCCAGAAGGTTTGCGTCCCTGGGCTGCCTCCACCCTGAGTCCAAGGCCTGGCTTTTCTCCGAAGCTCTCAAACTCATGTACAGATGTGTTTCCTGTCATGGTAGGGGATTCTCCACCCTTTCAAGCTGGTGGAAAATTCACATTGAGTTTTTTCTTCTCTAAAGAACCCCCAACCCTTGGAGAGCTAGCTGGAGGGACAGGGTAAAGAATGTGTGAGAGCAGCCATTGCCCAAGGTGGCCATCCCCAGGCCTCCCCTGGGCTGTCCTGGCCTCTCCTGACCCCGCTGGAGTGTCAGCCACATGCTGCTCAGCTCCCTCCAGCTCAGCCCAGCACCAAACCTCCCCACTTCCTGCCTCACCCAGCAAAGGCCTGTGGCTGCGTGATTTCAAGCGAGTGTGTAATGACAGTGCACCTCCGTCAGCTGCGAGGTTCTTCCACTCCTGCAAAGAAAACCATTAGTCTGTCACATTTAGTAAGCCAGTGATGGTTAAAGTACCTTAGTGAGTAAAAGTAATTCTGAATGAGTCAATAACGGTGACAACAACAGTGAGGAGAATGACGAGAGCTGTTTACTGAGCACCTGCTCCGGGCCAGGTGCAGTACTGGGCACTTGGGTCATACCATTAGGTCATAAGAGCAGAAAGTCCCCATGCCCGCCCAGACTCTGTAATGAGTCGGGGTTGATGTCAACGAGAGAGGTGGACACGAAGACAGGGAGCTGATGAGAAACCAGGGATAAAGATCCTCGTGTTGCTGGGCTTCCCAACGTGCGGGCCAGGATTCCAAGTAGCTCCAGGTTCCTATGTGGGGATGTTTCCATTATTTCAAAGTTGGTTCATAGAGTGAGGCTTAGGTAATATTTTT